TTTTTAATAAAATATGTTATATAATATGTTAAATTAAAATGTGTACTAATCAATATTCTTATAATTAAGATAGGAAATCCTTGATCTATGGAACATGGTTTCCTCTTTCCTTAGAGATGCTGGCTTTTAATCAATGAAATTTGTATTATGTTTAAAATAATAATAATAATAATGTCAATATGGGATCAATATGGGGCCATTAAGGCCGTTTAACGGACCTTAAAAGCTGCAAAATCCTAACTTTATCAAAATTTATTTAAACGTCATATTTAAATTTTCTTTCCAACAGGCTCCACAAAATTGCCCCTATTGCCGTCGACTGATCTTAGAAATAAGCTCCCCTATAATCAACTTTTTTCTTTAAAAAAATATTTACTTCTTGTACTAACTCCTTGAGAGACTGTCAATCCCTCATAGCTCACGATGCCAAAAGGGTTAAAAGGTCTCTCTCTCTCTCTCTCAACCACGTGAGATAAATATCTCTCTATGCACATTTATTCAAATCATATAAAATGGTATGGGCTTTTGAATGTAATGATTCATTTTAAATTTTAAGTGTTTAAATTTAATTAATCAATATTTGATTCTTATTAACGCCTCAAAAAAAAAAAAATCTCACTTCCTGTAAATTTCTTAATGTGCAAAAAAAAAAATTTTTAATCACATAAAATAAGTGTCGATTTCTCTCGTCCTTATATCCCTCTTAATACTATTTTCTTCCACTCAATGATGTGAATTTTTGCTCTTTTCCCATAACACATATATACTCATATGGCGTATCATCAAACGAGAGATACTTAAATGATTTCGTAAAAGATTCATACACTGAAATGACAGTGGAAATTAAGTGTACCAAATTACCATAACCTAGAGTTTCTCCCTTGTGTTTCCTTTTGGTGTTACAGTCTCCTCGTATCTGAACGAAGCAAAAGTGGCAAAGCCAAGAAGCCTCTGCGAAGGCCAAGTAATATTTTGGCTTTTATGAACTTTCGAATTTGATAACGATGCATGTAACGGTAGGAGGAACTTATCTCTTCGATAATTCAAGCACAAATACCCATATCTCTCATGTGGTTGGTTCATTTCCCATGACATAAAATGGAATGTACTACAAGCCTTTACTTCCACTTTGCACTCAAAGCAAGCTTCACCGTCACAAATTAATTGTTTTTTTTTCCATTTCCCATGAAATTATTTGTTTACCATCTACTCACTCCACTTTAAATTGGTTGTTTTATTCTTTTTACTTTTACGTACATGTAATTGAATTAGAGAGTGATTGATACATATTTAGTTCAATATATTGTATAACATATTTATTAAAAAAATTATTATTTTTTATTTAAAATCAAAAGCATATAAGTTTAAAAATACAATGATGCATATATAACACTAGAATCGGCAAAATTAATTATATTTATATTATATTTTTAATGGTTAAACTGAAAGCGTGTTAGAAAATATGTTGAATCGAGTGTGTACCAATCATTTTTTAATTTAATTTGATGGTTCTATATAGCAAATGACAAGCAAATAATTTTATTTTGGTAAGTAAGGCAATGCTTAAGCAATTAATTTTTTTGCATATGTATATAATTCTTATTAATTAAGTAGTTTTACTTAATTAATTTTTTAACAAGAAATTATTTTGTTGTTTGAACTATAAAATATGATGAATCTTTAGATGAAAGACATGTTCCTTGACATTTAAGTCCCTTTTCTCATTCAAGAGTTTTTGTTTTATGATTCAAACTATAAAACAACAAACTATTCTTTCAATTACTATTCATTTACTATATATTAAGAATCAAACAAAATAACCCAAAAGGTTGGAGTTAGCTCGGGACACCCTACCATAATACTAAAAAGGAAAAATAAGCATAAAATCAAAATACGTACTTATGAATAGTACCAACAATAGCTTGACTGTTATGGCACTTTTTAATTTAAAAATCTTAATTTATGGTTAAGATCAAATATCTAAATCTTTATATTATCAAATAGTTAATTTTTCGATATGCAAAAAAATGAACACTAATACATACAC